TGTATGTTTGTATGTATGTATGTATATATATATATATTTATATATATATATATTTATGTATGTATATATATACGTTTATATATATATATTAATATAATGTTTAATTGAAAGGAAATGTTGGTCATCTACATTCTCTCTACTTCCACAAGGTGACAAGTTCATACCACTCACCCCCCACAACACACACCACTTGGTCCCTGCTATCACGTGGTACCGAACATCTCAGTATGTACATACCATCACCCTATCTGCCTACACACGTACCCCCACTATCCCTGTACATACCCCAATTAAACAACACATCCCACCTCGTCTACTCCCACCGTAACCGTAAAATAACACGTATGTATCTATCTGCCTACACACATGGTACATGTTCTTCCGTAGGTCACCCTCGTACGCACAGTAGGGTCGGGTGGTCTGGCACCCACACACGGCGCGTCTCAAGTGTACGTCAAAGGCTTTGGACTGTTTGTGTCGTACGTAGAGCCAAAGTCCGCCGCGGACCATATCAATCTACGCCCTGGTGACGAGGTGAGTGTTGTTAGGGTTCTAGGTTTCTAGGGTTTAGGGTGTGGTTTGTGTTTCGCCACAAGCCATAGGTACTATGGCCATGGATACAGACACCATTGGCACACACTGCAGCCTATGCAAAAGATGTATGAATGTTACCATCACCAGTGCTCATGGATACAAACACCATTGACGCTAGATAAGAGATGTATGAATGTTGCCATCAACAGATATCCACTGCCTCACATTTATGCAATCCTCTCAGAACTTGTATCAGCAAAACATGCGGGTATTCTCGCGCTACTGACCACACCCCAACCGTCTCCGGTGTCTTATCAGATTGTGACCATTATTAGAGGCTGATACCACCAACACACTCTTCATCAGCACCAATCAAAAGGAGACCACGCGGTTATATTACACATACAGTCCTACAACGCTCGCTGTCTGGTCATAGTATCAGCAATCCTGCAAGTGTATGGAGAAGCAACGTGATTGTGGATCCTCCACTCACTAACCACATCCTACCCGTCGTCGCCCGTTTCCCATCAGATTCTGACTATCGATGAAGATCCCATTGACACCCTCATCAGCACCAAGCAAGACTTCGATGAGGCTATCAATAAGCCCAACCGTGTCACACTCTTGATCCGCCGACCCAGGATAGCTCGCTTGGTCCGGACCTGCAGTGGTATGTAGTTATACGCATCTGCATTCATTTGTAAGTGTCTGTTCAGTTAAACATACATAAGGCTTGGTATCTTGGTTCCCAGCCACCTCCAACTTCCAGTGATAGTGTGTGTACTGTCATATCTGCAGAGACACATACTTCCCCTCTGCAGTGGTATGTAGTTATGCGCATCTGCTTGCATTTGCAAGCGTCTGTTCAGTTAAACACACATAAGGCTTGGTGTCTTGGTTCCCAGCCACTACCAACTTCCAGTGATAGTGTGTATACATTCATATCTACAAAGACACCTACTCCCCCTCTGCAGTGGTATGTAATTATTCGTATCTACATTCAATTGCAAACTCCTGTCCGCATAGGGATTCTTTTCAACTTTTTCTTGTGAGTTTCTTCGTAGCCTACGAATCAGTACAACTATGATCCTAGCACGCTTTGGTAGAGTGCTTTAGCCATTGCACGAGCGTGGTTGTTGTCTACCAATAGCGAGTCGGCGAAGGATACAAACCGACCACCGTTCACTCGATCTGTTCTGACAATCTTGTCCTGTTGTGATACCCATACTCCAAGCGCTTTACGATGCCATATAGATAATCATGATAGTATCTTAAACGTATAACGGTATTACTAAGGTATACAGACCTCCAAACTCTATAGCTCTATGATACTGTATATACTCAGGGATGCAATGGGGTCTGTCGGAAAAAAATGGAATCATCACATCAATTGGTGATGCTGATTCTCCTGCCAGTCGTGCGGGGTTGCCTCTGCGCTATGGTATAGTGACTGTGAACAACCAGGAGGTGCTAGGCGAAGATGCGGGTGTGTACTTGCGAGTAGTGTTTTTGTGTAGTATATTTATACTGTACGGTATGTAGGGCGACAATTTAGCTCAACTATTTGCGGTCACGTATGGCATTGCATAAGTATATGCAGTATTATATATATATATATAACTAAATATATTCAAATCTATATATATATATATGTGTGTGTGTGTATGTATGTATGTATGTATGTATGTATGTATATATGTATGTATGTATGTATGTATATATGCGTGTGTGGTCTGTGTCTGTATGTGTCTGTTTCTGTGTATGCGTATGTATATGTATAAGTATGGGTATATATATATATATGTGTGTGTGTGTGTGTGTGTGTGTGTGTGTATGTATATATGTATATG